CGGTTAATTTTTGTTCAGTCGCGGTTAATTTTTGTTCAGTCATGGTTAATTTTTGTTCAGTCGCGGTTAATTTTTGTTCAGTCGCGGTTAATTTTTGTTCAGTCGCGGTTAATTTTTGTTCAGTCGCGGTTAATTTTTGTTCAGTCGCGGTTAATTTTTGTTCAGTCGCGGTTAATTTTTGTTCGGTCGCGGTTAATTTTTGTTCAGTTGCGGTTAATTTTTGTTCAGTCGCGGTTAATTTTTGTTCAGTCGCGGTTAATTTTTGTTCAGTCGCAGTTAATTTTTGTTCAGTCGCGGTTAATTTTTGTTCGGTCGCGGTTAATTTTTAATCAGTCGCAGTTAATTTTTGTTCGGTCGCGGTTAATTTTTGTTCAGTCGCGGTTAATTTTTGTTCAGTCGCGGTTAATTTTTGTTCAGTCGCGGTTAATTTTTGTTCAGTCGCGGTTAATTTTTGTTCAGTCGCGGTTAATTTTTGTTCAGTCGCGGTTAATTTTTGTTCAGTCGCGGTTAATTTTTGTTCGGTCGCGGTTAATTTTTGTTCAGTCGCGGTTAATTTTTGTTCAGTCGCGGTTAATTTTTGTTCAGTCGCGGTTAATTTTTGTTCAGTCGCGGTTAATTTTTGTTCAGTCGCGGTTAATTTTTGTTCAGTCGCGGTTAATTTTTGTTCAGTCGCGGTTAATTTTTGTTCAGTCGCGGTTAATTTTTGTTCAGTCGCGGTTAATTTTTGTTCAGTCGCGGTTAATTTTTGTTCAGTCGCGGTTAATTTTTGTTCGGTCGCGGTTAATTTTTGTTCAGTCGCGGTTAATTTTTGTTCAGTCGCGGTTAATTTTTGTTCAGTCGCGGTTAATTTTTGTTCAGTCGCGGTTAATTTTTGTTCAGTCGCGGTTAATTTTTGTTCAGTCGCGGTTAATTTTTAATCAGTCGCAGTTAATTTTTGTTCGGTCGCGGTTAATTTTTGTTCAGTCGCGGTTAATTTTTGTTCAGTCGCGGTTAATTTTTGTTCAGTCGCGGTTAATTTTTGTTCAGTCGCGGTTAATTTTTGTTCAGTCGCGGTTAATTTTTGTTCGGTCGCTGTTAATTTTTGTTCAGTCGCGGTTAATTTTTGTTCAGTCGCGGTTAATTTTTGTTCGGTCGCTGTTAATTTTTGTTCAGTCGCGGTTAATTTTTGTTCAGTCGCGGTTAATTTTTGTTCAGTCGCGGTTAATTTTTGTTCGGTCGCGGTTAATTTTTGTTCAGTCGCGGTTAATTTTTGTTCAGTCGCGGTTAATTTTTGTTCAGTCCCGGTTAATTTTTGTTCAGTCGCGGTTAATTTTTGTTCGGTCGCGGTTAATTTTTGTTCAGTCGCGGTTAATTTTTGTTCAGTCGCGGTTAATTTTTGTTCAGTCGCGGTTAATTTTTGTTCAGTCGCGGTTAATTTTTGTTCGGTCGCGGTTAATTTTTGTTCAGTCGCGGTTAATTTTTGTTCAGTCGCGGTTAATTTTTGTTCAGTCGCGGTTAATTTTTGTTCAGTCGCGGTTAATTTTTGTTCAGTCGCGGTTAATTTTTGTTCAGTCGCGGTTAATTTTTGTTCAGTCGCGGTTAATTTTTGTTCAGTCGCGGTTAATTTTTGTTCAGTCGCGGTTAATTTTTGTTCAGTCGCGGTTAATTTTTGTTCAGTCGCGGTTAATTTTTGTTCGGTCGCGGTTAATTTTTGTTCAGTCGCGGTTAATTTTTGTTCAGTCGCGGTTAATTTTTGTTCAGTCGCGGTTAATTTTTGTTCAGTCGCGGTTAATTTTTGTTCAGTCGCGGTTAATTTTTGTTCAGTCGCGGTTAATTTTTGTTCGGTCGCGGTTAATTTTTGTTCAGTCGCGGTTAATTTTTGTTCAGTCGCGGTTAATTTTTGTTCAGTCGCGGTTAGTTTTTATTCAGTCGCGGTTAATTTTTGTTCAGTCGCGGTTAATTTTTGTTCGGTCGCGGTTAATTTTTGTTCAGTCGCGGTTAATTTTTGTTCAGTCGCGGTTAATTTTTGTTCAGTCGCGGTTAATTTTTGTTCAGTCGCGGTTAATTTTTGTTCAGTCGCGTTTAATTTTTAATCAGTCGCAGTTAATTTTTGTTCGGTCGCGGTTAATTTTTGTTCAGTCGCGGTTAATTTTTGTTCAGTTGCGGTTAATTTTTGTTCAGTCGCGGTTAACTTTTGTTCGGTCGCGGTTAATTTTTGTTCAGTCGCGGTTAATTTTTGTTCGGCGCGGTTAATTTTTGTTCAGTCGCGGTTAATTTTTGTTCAGTCGCGGTTAATTTTTGTTCAGTCGCGGTTAATTTTTGTTCAGTTGCGGTTAATTTTTGTTCAGTCGCGGTTAATTTTTGTTCAGTCGCGGTTAATTTTTGTTCGGTCGCGGTTAAATTTTGTTCAGTCGCGGTTAATTTTTGTTCAGTCGCGGTTAATTTTTGTTCACTCGCGGTTAATTTTTGTTCAGTCGCGGTTAATTTTTGTTCAGTCGCGGTTAATTTTTGTTCGGTCGCGGTTAATTTTTGTTCAGTCGCGGTTAATTTTTGTTCAGTCGCGGTTAATTTTTGTTCAGTCGCGGTTAATTTTTGTTCAGTCGCGGTTAATTTTTGTTCAGTCGCGGTTAATTTTTGTTCAGTCGCGGTTAATTTTTGTTCAGTCGCGGTTAATTTTTGTTCAGTCGCGGTTAATTTTTGTTCAGTCGCGGTTAATTTTTGTTCAGTCGCGGTTAATTTTTGTTCAGTCGCGGTTAATTTTTGTTCAGTCGCACTGGTCGCGGAATCATCTCCTCCGTCCACGAAGTCAGGTCCCAGGCGGATAATGATCACATGAGTCTTTAAATAGCTAAAGACATGCTCAGGTTTTCTTCAACTTAAGCAGTTTACTTGGAGAATAAAAACTGCAATTTTCTTTGGTTTTAGAGAAATACGGCCAAGGTGTTGCAAAATCTTAACAGTGAGGCCAGATCCATTTTTTTTCAAGCAAAATAGTGCGTTCGAAACTTACCTCATGATAAAAGGGCTGATTAAATTACTATCCAGTGATTCAATTTCGTAGAAATAATAGCAGTTGAGTCCAACGTCCAGAATATCGAGCAACATCGTAGTAATTGGAGCAATTGCCCAAAAATGGGCCAACTAAACTTTCATAGCTGCTTTGGGTGGCAAGAGTTTGAGCAGAACCCACTTTTGAACCCACCCGTCTATATCGGTAGATGTTGAGAGGTTCTGAAGTCGCGATTTGAACGTTTCATAGCTGCTTTTGAACATTTGAAGTGCGTATGCAATGAATGATAGATAAACTACAATAGAGAATCCCGTAGGAATCAAAATTAACAAGTATTTATGGTCCTCAATCCAACTTCTAGGTTCCCAAAAACGAGTCACATCGCAAAACGTGAGGTTGTTTGCTCCTACTGAAACGCAGTCTTTCTTTCCCATTTCCCGATTAGTTTCTGTTGAGTAACGTATTATTATTCAGTTTCTTTCAAATATGAGCGTTTTCAGGAAACAAGCACGCTTAATTTCTAGATGGAGTCATATTGCGTCCAATTGAAGCATTGAAAAACAGTGCATCAGCTAGCATAAAACTCGACCGGCATAAAGTTTGCCTTTTTGGCTATTTATATCAACTACGTTAAAATCAATCAATTATCAAAAAATCTCATCGGCATCTAGCCGCCGCTGCTGACAGGCAAATAAGGCGAGTGACAACTGTTTTTGATGGGATTTTTAGACGACAAAAAACATTTTCAAAGAAGTTGTCAACGCGAAATGATTGTTTTTTAACACGCGAAATACATTTCCGAGAAATACAAAACGCAAAATGATTCTTCTAAATACATTTCTGAGAAGCAAAAAGCGGAAGTTTTAACAAAAAAACACGCATCAACCATTATTTACCGTTTTCTGGTCAAAATGGAGTTCAAATTTAGTCCTTGTAAAATTTTATTGGGATGGCATTGCTAGTATTTTTAGTAACTTTGGATGTTAATACATTTTTGTCATCTAAATGTCTTGTCGCCTTCAGATCCTTTTAGGCGTTTTTAGGCCCTTTTCGTAAATTTTTACCAAAAAATTGCGCTTTTGGCGCGCGCTCCCCCCTCAAAATGAGTAAACACTGGCGCCAAAGGCGCCTTTAGAAAAATTTTAGCGTCCGTCACCAGAAATGGATATCTTAAAAAGTACAAAGGGCCCCGGGTTGACCAAAAATGCTTGTCCTACAATTTCCATATATGAAAAAATGCTTATCCTACAATTTCCTACAGTTTCATAGATTCAGAAAATCGTAAGAAAACTCTAGGATAAACATTTTTTCATATATGGAAATTATAAGATAAGCATTTTTTCATATATGGAAATTGTACGACAAGCATTTTTTCATTTATGGAAATTGCATGAAAAACGTTTATTGAAAGCTCAAGTGAAGCACAAGTAGCGTTTAAACTTAGCTTCAAAATAAATTTTAGTTTCTGATATGCAAGGTGCTCTAAATTGAGCAAAAATGCTCTTAATTAATTTAAATTTGATTATCAACAAGTTTTTACAGAATTCTGAAAATATTGCCTTTTATGGAAAATGCTTATCATACAATTTTCATATATGGAAATTGTATGATAACCATTTTTTTTTCAAAAATTGAACATAGTTTTTTTTTCATCACCAGACTGTTTTATTTGGTTCAAATAGCCGCAGAAATTAGTTCGAATCTTTTTTCAATGATTTTTTGAAATTGTAAGAAAATTGTATGACTAGCATTTTCCCATACATTTGATGTATGGAATTGTAAGATAAGCATTTTCGGTGTAGGGAATTGTAAGACTAGCATTTTCGGTTTATGGAGGTCAAGCCGGGGGGGGGGGGGGGACCCTTTGCGTCGGTAGGGGGTCGAATCCTTGAGGGAAAAAGCGCGTCCGTCCCCCCCCCCTAAATCCGCCCCTGTATTTATATAGGACTTCTCGCTCAGCAATTTGCTTGATAGAAGTTGCACGGCTAAGATTAGACAGATTTGATTCGAATCATTTGTCGTAAAAAATAAATTCTGAGTTACTTCAAAATATCTTGATTTGGATGTAATGAACATTTCCTGATGTGTTTATTCAGTATGATTTACTTCTTCATAGACACTTGACCAAGTGCAGCACAATCAAATCTGGTCAGGTACCACATATCATAATAAAGTCGATTCCAGATTCCAAACTCAGGTCCAAATTTCTGTCCCTCGGCTTCTGTGACTTCTCTTTGAATCGTCGATACTGATTCCAAAAATTTGAACTTTTCCAATAAATGTGTCCTTATTCGATAATTGCGCTCGCGCCCCCCGAAGGGATATACGAGAGGAAATGCAATCAACCCTGGCTCTTTTCCATCTGCAAACCAGTCTATTATCCGATGAACTACATCTTCATTGAGGTAAATGGTAGAGTTAATATGCAGAATATTCGCACTCTCACATTTTGTTCGCAATCGGTGGCTTTCAGATTCCGATAGGACATTTAGATCCACTTTTAGAATCTCGTCGAATATTCCGGCCTTTTTTCCAAACTCAAGAGCCGATGCACTTACATCTACGCCAACAGTCTCTACTGGAAATGTTCTGGGCTTGATAAGCTGATAACACGTCGTCTCAGATGCCCATGTTTTTGCAAAGTCCTGCAAATCAAACACTATACTGAACTATTACATTCTATAAACAATTATAATTTGAAGACAAATAATGAAACTTTTGGGTACAAATGGGCAGAAAGGGACCTCTTGATAGTAGGCATGGGTGTATGATAGTGTATCATTTCCATAGCAGCAGAGTACGTCCAGGAACTTCAGGGGCTTCTTCAGATCTGTAGCCCATTTCTCGAAGATAGGGAGTAGATTTCTTTCGCAGTGCTTGGCTATAAACTCGTTTCGTTCCACCATCTGTCCTTTCTTCATCAGCTAAATTTTAGTGCAACTTTTTCATCCTATTTCTGAAGTGCCAAAAACAAATGCTTTGAGTATAGTTTTTGCTTTATAAATGTTCACTCGTTTAAAAACAATTTTTGACCAAAATTCAAAAAAAACATCCACAAGATATTGGTGCCATGAATTGCTGCCATATTGGTGCCAGAATTTAAAAATTTGCTGTCAACCTTGAAATAGACTAATTGAGATTAGACTAATTGAGAAATGGCAGAGAAAGCAATCTCATCTACTGTTTATGCAAAAAAAACTGCTTGGATCAGGGCGAAGCTCTGAATGTTTCGACTGCTTTTGGAATAGTGTCCATTTTAAATAAAAATGAACAAAATTAGAAAAAAAACTAAATATAATTTCTATGAAAAGCATCCACTTTTTTTAATGAAAACCATCAACCCACACGCTCGCTAAGGTGAGTAAAAAAGGATATAGTTTGCAAATAGCAAAGTGATAAATACAACAAATAGCATGCCTCAATTGAATTTAGAAGGTTTTCTAAGCCGGATTAAATTTCCACTTACGCGTTCATAACACGAACTTATATCACCCATTAATTGCCCCAAACTGGCAATCAGTAGAAACTTTGTGCAATTTGCTATCGTTGATCACAGGTGAACTATTTATTTTGTATATTTAGGCTCAGGACATCAATACCATTTCAAATAGTGTTAAAAAAATCCCGTCAAAAATTGATAATTGAAGAGTCGAACTTGTCCGGAGAAAAAACCGCCTTGTGCAAAACTATTTTTTGCTAGTAAATTCGCCCCAATTCAACTTGTCTCAGCTTATTTTGTCCGACTCCATCTTGCCTCACAAGTTAAAATGTTATCTTGTCTCATATAAAAAACGTTTAAAATTTGCCGCAGATTCTTTGATATCCTCGTAGAACAAAAGTCAGCATAATGTGAAAAGGCTTTCTTGCTGAAAAACAATTTTGAACAAAATGCGGAATCAATAAAACATGCGCTGAACAAACATGAATTTAAAACATGAATAAACAAAGTGAAAACCGTAAAATTTCAACTCAATTTAAATTCGAGGTTTTCAATTCGAGTTAATTTTTCTAATTTTGTCAGCTCACTTGGCGAAGGTGTTAGTGCAAAACACTATTAGTCAAAAGTTCAGGATTTCGAAATTCGGAGAATCCGAACAATTTTAAATTAAAATCATAAAACGGAGAAAAGCAGGTACTTCCCCATTCCAAAACTGCTCATACTGGGTATGGGAAAGAGCGGGGTGAGAAAAATGAGCAAAACTATTGCAGTATTGGCCTCAATCACCCTCCAGTATATGAGCTCTCTACCGTGATTATAACTGTAAGAAGTGATCACTTTTTAAAAATCAATCCAAAATGCAACAAATTGCCGACAATTTAAATAAGTTTATGCCGACAAATATGATTTACGAAAATATTAATTAAGCTATGCCACATCAATAATCAACAACAAGATCTTTGTTAAAATTACAGGAAGTGTTTTGGATTTTTACATGCATATCGCGATAGTTCTTCTGGCCCTGGTTCTGCGTTTTTCCCATAGCCTTGAGAATATAGCCTGTATATAGCGTTAATAGCGTTAATAGCGTTGATTGCGGATTATAGTCAAACTTTTGCATCTAAATAACAATAAGTTTAGCTTAGATGAAAACTGAGGCTCAACTTATACCATTTTGAGTTATTTTCTCTTCTTATCTCCAAACAATCTCAGTTTACCATTATTTCATTAGCATTTGCTGGTCTAAAAATTACTGGATTTGAAAAAAAAACAATTAACTAGAAGTTTTATTTGTGGGAAAGAACGGCATAGGACAAATTGTCAGATAGATCAGGCTGGGACAAGCAAACTTTTTAATATGCGGCAATTTAGTATAGGCAAGTTAGCATGGGCCATTTGTCCTGGTGCAAATAGTCCTGACACCAAATATACTGTCACCTTATAAAAAACTTAGGCTAAGTTTTGTACTACCGTGAAATGTAATTTTGAACACAAGAAGAGCGATGTTTCTTCAAATTTTGCACGGTTTCCTTAAAAACTACAAAAAAATTGAGAATCGAAATCAGTTACCCTTACATTACAAAATACGGTACGTTTGCAATTCGTTTCTATCAGATGGCTCAAACTAAAAGTGTGCAAGTTTTTTTTATTTATTTTTCCTGATTTTTTCTGAAATACTGAAAATTATATAAAATTTAAAATTCAGATGAGAAGCAAGTTTTTTTGTTACTGTGCACCACTTTACTCCAACTACTTCGTGTGCACTGATTTCTTGACTCTTTTTCGCAACAAATCAAAAAAGCAATGTTTGCAACAGAAGTTAAATTATTACTTTCGCTTATGGACCAAAAAAACTAGATTGTGAAGATAAGTAAAAATGTGTAATTTTATTCGCGAGAATAATGCCAGTCCTTAAATGGCTCTTCAATTAGTTTTGAATAGACTGGCTAAATTTGTTGCTTCAATTTTTACCAAAAACTTGTCGCAAAACATTTTCAGCTTTTGTAATATTTAAAAATAAAAATGATGTTTTTGTATACAATTCTATAGACTGCGCTCATTCATCCGGTTTCAAATTGATAGAATAATAGAAATTAACTTCAAGAATTGATGAAACAGATGCATGTTTTGATCGTGATCGAGGTATGTGAAGACCGTGCTAGAGTTATGTTTCGACCTTGCTCGAACCAAACTCCTGTCTGGACTTTTCATTTTCGGCCGAGCCCTGACATGTCCTCGAGTTTGAATGTCGAAACATAAAGTGAGCACCTCGACGCGAGCGAGGAGTTTGTGGTGTGTTAGAGGGATCAGTAACTAAGCGCAGCTTTCTAGAAATTAACATGACGAAATACCCCCATTGCATTTAGTCATATTTTGGAGAATAATTGTTCTAAAACTTTTACTGATAATGAGCAAAAAATTCTCTCGAAATTGAGAAAGATAATAAATTGGACTGGGATCGTAAGCTAACCTCTTGGTAGTATCGAGTGCAGTCTACGTGAGTGTATTCTGACGAATAGTCCCGTTTTCTGTCCAAATTATCGTTGCTGGGGCTGGCCATCGTTTTGAAGCGGAGCAAAGGGAAACCTTAGAAAAATAAATGGTATGGTTTAGAATTGGTGACTGTAATAGGAAAGTTTTTTTCAATTTTTCAAAACATTTACGCTCAGCAAACAGATGAGAAAATTTGTCGCAAATGCTATTTTAGCTTTTCCATAGGATTGATCACACAAAACGTACTCTAACAACACATATGCTGTGACCTACCGTAGAATGCCCTCCACAAGAATGTATTAAGTCTGAAAAAAATTTGCATTTCCTACAAACGAGCAAATAAAAAATATTTTCATCCGCCTAAATGGACTTGAGCGGAGGGTATTGAATTGTACGGTTGATCGGAAATTTATTGTAGCTAAATTTTCCACCTACAACAATTATTAATTATTTCTAGTTTTCAGAAAACTAAACTTTTAATAATTGACCCAGAGGGATCGACTGCACAAAAAATCATCTCTCTAAAGTGACCTGCTAGAATAATCATTCCCTTGAAATCTACATCAGCGCTGATTTCAATCGGACAATCGAAGTAAGATGGAAAAAAAACTTTGAACTCTAAAGTGATATTTCGAAAAAAAAACATTCATCCAAAGTAATTCTGTTTTCCCGTTAGTTTGAATCAGCTCCGTGTCAACTTTGAAAATTAAATATTTATAAATGTGCATTTCAAACTAATTCTCACCTGTTTTGATTTAGATGTTTTTATTTTTTCGGTTCTTTATAGGGCTGGTTATTCTTTATTCACTAGGTACCATAGGGGGAGGGGGTTGTAGTTAAAGACAAAAAACTTTTTGTTCGACCAATGTTTACTTTAATTTATAATGCTCAAAGAAAGTCACCGTTTTTTTCTGACCTCTTTTGATTTGAGGGTGGATCGATTGTACAGTTGATGCTTTTCACCAGATGCACTTTAATATGAAAAGTTAAGTGGCCAATATGAAAAGTTATGATACAGTGAATGTTCTATAGCTTATCGGTTTAGTTTAATTTGCTTATCTGAAAGTTGAATAATGAGGTTAAATATCACTGAAACTGCATTAGCATAATCATCTGCATGCATTTACTAAATAACCCACACTAGATAAGCAACCAAGTTCCTTGCCGTTTTCCTTACCTCTGAGGTCATCTGAATCTAGGGGCGGAATTAGGGGGGACGCCCCTTCCCCCTCAGGAATTCAACCCCCTGCCAACCCAAAGGGTCTCCCCTTTGTACGAGTTTGAGATATCCCTTTTCGGCTGAAGAACCCTAAAGTTTTTCAAAGGGTGCATTTGGCGCTTATATTTACTAATTTTGAATAGGAAGCGCGCGCCAAAAAAATGCAATTTTTTGGTCAATAATTTCCAAAAGTGCCTAAAAGCGCCCATTTGGCCTGTTTTTTTTCAAAATTTGGTCTAAACTGCGGCACAGAAAATTTGGCCTAAACTTAAATTCCCAGAGAGTGAGCAGTAGTGGCGGGGGTGGTTGGGTGGAGACCCCTGTGTATTAAGATAGATATTTTAGATATAGATATTTAGATATTTTAGATATAGTAGATATTTTAGTAGGGGGTGGGTGGGTGGAGACCTCTGTGTATTAAGATAGGAAATAGATCATCCGGTCTCCAAGCTATGTATTAAGCTAGGAAAGTAAATTTCTTATGTATTAAGATAGGGAATGGGTTTCTTAATTAAGATGGTAAGGTTTCAGATGGTAAGTTTCAGAAAAAAAAATTTGGCGCACGAATTTTTGGAGCTCGATTTTTCCGATACTTGCGTTTCTTAGCTAACTCCTACGATTTAGAAGTTTTCATTAATGTTGTTATATTAACTGAATCCTAGCGAAAATTCGAGACACAAATTATGTTTTTTTGAAAATAAAATGTTAAATTCAAAAGATGATGTATATAAATCACTGCTTTGTATAATCAATTTACTACAAGTTTACAGTTAGTTAACCAATACTGAATTAAATACTATTACACTATCAGTTATTTACAAGTTCAAAGGTTTTGTGTGTATTCCGTCATCCTGAACTTGTCTTTTCGGATAAAAGTAACTCAATCCCTTCTTTGTTTGCTCGTATGTAGCAACCATATGATTAATGGTTCTTAATCCTCAGTTTGTTGAAGTCAGGTTGATTGCTTCGTCGAGTACTTTCCTGTATTTTTCCATAGGGCCATCGCGGGGTTCCTCTAGATTTCTTTTATTCAATCCTTGGCTGCTAAGTCTCAACTTGTCTGATTTGTTGTCATAGCAATAATAAATCTTGCTACATAAAGATAGCATCTCCGTACACCTAAATTCTTCTTTAAACAGTCCAGATTCTCATTTATCGCGTTTTTTGTGAACGCCTCATGTTTTGGGAAAAAATTTGTTTTTGAATCCGCTCTAATTGAATCTCTGCAATCATTTTTTCTAAATTTTTCCCAGTCATCTTTTTCCCAGATTTTCATCAGCAAGAGCTAAATACAGCGAATCCGTGTCCATTTCTAATTCCTCGAAATAAGTTACAACACAAAACTTTTCGAAAAACTGTAGTAAAGCTCAGGCAGTCTCAGCTTTGCATACTGCAGAATTAAAAATCCGACAAATATGGCTTCTCTGTGCTCAATTGTTGACTTTAGTAACTTAATCTTGTACAAGTCTTTCTGAACAGTGTTCAATCGTTTGAAGAGTGGTTCATTAATTGCTTTGTGTGTTTTCTCATCATTCAAATCTTTTGTGATCGTATTTCTCGATCTGTTCATTATCTGGTAACCGTAGCATGAATTACCTCGGAGTTTCATAGTCTCAGCAAAAACACAGGATAAAGGGTTCTCATCTCCTTCCCTTCTAGCATCAACAAGTGATTGAAAAAAATCATTGAAGCATTTTCGAGGGAGATACTGTACAATAGGGTAAACTTTTGTAAACTGTATGCCAAGTTCCATGTAGAAATTGAAGAGAGTAGTAATGATGGAACCATTATCCATTATGAAACTAGATATTAGTATTCTGTGGGGATGCCTAAGAAGGTCATTTTCAATGGCCTATTTTTGCATATATTCCCCAATATAGTTTTTCCAATTTCAGTGTTTTTGAAAATTGGAAGAAAGTTAGCAAATTTAGCTTTCAGTTCATCTGGTACAACTAATTCACACTGAATTTAGCCACAAAGGGATCCATCTCTTATTTTTTCCAATAAAGAATCAGTAGAAAGAAATCTTTTGTAGGGAAAGTTGGATCGGATATGATTCTTAATTTTTTCGTTCGTTTTGCAGTTTTACCACCACTCTCATTCCCACGTGTGTTCAATTTTGCACCCTTTTTAGCGAATAAACTCACGTCTCAAGTCATCCATCTCTCTCCTTTTATTTCCTCTCTCAATACCTTTATTGCTCAGTGAGGGACGAGTATCCTGGCAGGGACAGAAGTGGTAATATCATCCCATAGTTTCAAACACTGTTTTGCAGTGATCGCAATATCCATCTACATTGAACCGCTCAATTTTCTTTTGATTTCAAGGTGTGTGGAAGCTCTCAATTCTGCATTCTGGTCTTGTTTCTTAGTAGTAAGACATCACCATGTTCTCAAAGTTGCTAGATCGGTTATAACTAGCCTCGAATTTTTGCATATCAGAATCAAACTCCCATCTTAAGTACAATCCTGTTGGCATGTCTTGACACATTGAATAGGGATAGAGCTGGCTCGCATCAATTCCAACTATTGATTGGAAGACATTTGATGAATGCCTGATAAAGGTTTTGTCCACACCAGCTTTTTGCGTAAACATAATTGATGGTCCACCCGTCATATCCTCTCTAATTTTCTGACACAAATCTCTATCACTTTCGCAAAAAGGGTAGAACTTTTTTTTCATTAGTTGATTTGTGCAGACAAATATTTGCCAGATTTGGAAGAGTACATCCAAGTTTTAACATCTCAATTTCTTTCTGATGATAAAACTGAACCATTTTTTGCATTGCTTCAAGGGTTGTAACAGCATCTTTGTTGTTTTAACACTGCATAAAATCTTTAAATTTGGTCATTCCATGTTTCTGCCAAATCTTTTTTAAATATTTGTAATTATCCCATCCAAATGTGGGTACTGACTTGATTTGACGTTTCTTCAGTGCTTGCTGCTCATCAAGTCTACTTGATTGCAAGTTCTGATAATCCTTAAATTCTATCAAGAGCGTTGTTGTTTCTCAGTTAACTGAAAAAAGCTTCGTATGGAGGTAATTCTTCATTCTCGAGGTTGTCCGCACTGTCAAACCTTTCATAAGTGAAAAACCCCTTTGTCTCATTTGCTTTGTAGACTTTAAGAAAGGAGTATAGAAATGCTGTTCCACCCAACAATTTCATGATGTCGCAAAACTGTCTGTCTCCAAACTTGAAGGATATGAAATCGTTAGCCTTTATCGATAACCATTGGTTCAGCTTCTTTATCAATTAAGTAGGGAATCAGATAGCCCTTGATCAAGTGCGAGCATATCTTCCATTGTTAAACCCAAATACAGGTAACGTGTGAACATACCTCTCCAGATTTTGTTTCAAATCAATCAACTGCATTCTCAAAAACTGAGTTGACATATCAGTTTCCTCTGTGTCCTCTATTCATTCGTCTTCATATTCAAAATTTTCAGTTGGATGAATTTGACATCTGTCATTCAACTCTTGGAAATTTTTCGACATCCGCTTATTCACTTCTCGTTCAACATCTTGAAATTTAGTTCTCATTTCTAGCTGACTTTTTTCAGCCAAAAGTTCGAGTTTGATTACAAAATCGATAAAATTTTTTTTTGCGGATCCTTGTTATAAAGAATAATTGGTTCATCTATCAGGTTCGAGGATATTGATACAGAAATTGGATCGTGTTTTCCAATCCAGGTTGTTGTTTGGGTAGCTTTCAGTTCATCTGATGGAATACATATCGACTCAAAATCGAAAATAGCTAGGTTGTTGAATAGTGTGTTATCTTTCGAAACTGAGATATTGAAACCTTCCAACTTTTCAAAAAGCGTTTCTCGGAGTGTATGTACATTCTTTGGATAAATGTGTCGCACCCGATATTTACAAGTCATATTATGTCTGTTGAAATTGTTCGACCTGTTGAAGAAACAGTCACAGCTAGAACATCGGAAACACTTGAAGAAAGAATCAATCTCATTCGTGTGAATAATATCATTGTTGAACCTTAACAATTTCACGGTTTTATCAAGTTTTCCAATATTTCGCCCGGCTAATTTTCCAAGATATTCCCCTTCCTGAATGTCAAAATCATAGATGAAAGTGTTGCGATCAACTATTTCCTAGACAAGAGGTAAATCATTTCCCTGAATTGTATCAACTCCTCATTGAGTTTCTCCCCGTCTTCCCCTTCCTCCTCCACAATATTGTTCAAGTCTGCCACCGTATCACTTCGTTTCCATTGTTTCGCTCCATGTTTGTTTCTCCGATGTTGTTCGAGCGAATAGTAGCTCGGAAACTCCTTCTCGCCAGACGAGCAAACCGTTCATTGCTTAGAAGTTGATAGAGCATGCTTTTTGGCCCCGTGATAATTCATTTCGTGCTCATTTTTGACATCCGCTTATTCACTTCTCTTTCAAAATTTTAAAATTTAGTTCTCATTTCGAGCTTAATTTTTTCAGGCAAAAAATCGAGTTTGATTACAAAATCGATAATAAGTTTCTGCGGATCCTTGTTATATGAAAAATTGGTTCATCTATCAGGTTTGAGGATATTGATACAGAAATTGGAACGTGTTTTCCAATGCAGGTTGTTGTTTGGGTAGCTTTCAGTTCATCTGATGGAATACATATCGACTCAAAATCGAAAATGGCTAGGTTGTTGAATAGTGTGTTATCTTTCGAAACTGGGATATTGAAACCTTCAAACTTTTCAAATAGCGTTTCTCGGAGTGTATATACATTCTTTGGATAAATTTGTCGCACCCGATATTTTTACAAATCATAATATGTCTGTTGAAATTGTTCGACCTGTTGAAGAAACAGCCACAGCTAGAACATCGGAAACAA